CGCTTCAGGGAATTTGTATGCTAGTGGGGTAAACAGTAAAAAGGTAACTGTAATTGTGTTCAGTTTCAACATTACTTTGTCTTTTCCCTCCTCTTTTCAACCTTATTTGTCAAGCAACTGACTAGAATGTAATTTTTGAAAATGAGTAGGAGAGTAGATTTCCCCTAAAGTTTTATGATGTTAAAAATCTGATTCTCTAGCCTGTGTAGACTTCTATTAAAGTAGTACTTGCAATAGATATTTTTTTCAAAAAAATAATGAATGAAATATTAACAGGTGATTCGGGAGATGTAATTTATAAAAACATTTGTTGCTGTTGTTGTGTTGCATTGAGTTGGAACCGACCCATAGCTCACCCTCTGGAGGGCTCCACCCTGCCCCATCCCAGGCAGTTAATTGCATGGGAGGAGAGCCTGATATTTATCTAAATTGGAAAGTGAAATGAGCCATCTGGCATGTGAAAACTCTAGATAATTTTGCATTAAAAAGAATTTTTGTTATCCTGGTTCATTGTTTACTATAGTTTAGCTTGTTTATGATTTATTATTTCAGAGTCAGTGATAAAGAAATATTGATATTTTGATGTACTTTCCCCCACTGTGTAGTTCTTTGGAAGAACATTCTCTAGAAAATGAGCTTTGTATTGTGAGGTTTGCTGATCTCAGCCCTAAGTTGAATATTTTGGTTGAAACATTCAACCATGGAATTCAAACATGTGACATGTAAAGTCGTCTTTGTTGCTTAACTCAGTAAGGCTGTGCTAATCTGGTTTCACATCCTGGATGCAGAGCACCCTCTATTTCCAGGGAGCTGCTTTATTCTTGGATTTTTCCCTAGCAGTGTGGTTTTTGGTATCACTTTCTTTCTCGTGGGCCAGCTTGCTTGCTGCTTCTTCCAAAGTAAATTTCATATTGATTTTTATGGAAGCTCAACCTCTTTAATCTGCTTTTTCTAATCTGAGAAGGAATGGATTTGTGGTTCAGCTCAGGTCTTGTTATGCAAGAGTAAGGAGATAAAAGGGACAATATTATTATTGTTAGGTGCTCTTCAGTCGGTTCTCATAGAATCTTATGTGTGAGGAAATAAAACACTGCATGCATGACTGTGTACCCCCCTTGGAATCGTTGCAGTGACTGAGCTCATGGTCGCATCTACTGCGCTGACCCATCTTCCTCTTTTTCTGTTTACTCTCTACCAAGCAGAATATCCTCTCTGAGAATTGGTGCCTCATGAGAGTGTATCTGAAGAACGGGAGATGGATCTTACCACTCTTGCTTCTAAGGAGCACTCTGGCTGTCCTTCTACAAAGACAGATTTGGTTTTCTTCCAACAGTCCATGAAACAGTTAATATTCTTCACCAACTTCATGATTCAAATCCATCTGTGCTATGAGTCACAGGTGACTCGACAGCACATGACAACAACAACATTCCTTTGGAGTGGCTGGCAGGTGTGAGCTGCTGGAGAGGGAAGCACCTTTGGGTTAGTAGCGCAACTCTACCCTCCAGGTTGCTTGGAATCCAAGTGATTCTAAAAGAAAACCCAGCTATTCAACCTTCCCAAAGATTTTTATGACATCACAATTTTCCACCCAGAAATTTTTACAATTATAGAAAGTTAAGAACCATCCAGTACATCTCCCCAATTAAAAATAGGCAAAATAACACAAAACAGACAAAAAAGCTGAAACCCAGGGAGACTTTTAAGTGAGTTTTGAGAGATCACATCATTTAATGACTGAGCTGAGACTAGTCACAGGTCTTCGAGTCTGCATTCCAACTCTCCATAAGCCGGTGATACAGATACTTAATTTGAATCAACTTAAGCTCAGGAGGAGATAATTGAACTTAGCTGGACTGGTCAATATAGACAACAATAAGTATTATTTCTCTCTCTACAGTTTAGCTCAAAAACAGATGTGCTTTTGGTTAATGCATTTCTCCCCACCGTTCCCCCTCACCCCCGCCATCATTCCTACTGTCTTTTATTGACAAAAGAGAATGATTTGTATAGAAAATGTATGTTATCTCTTAATATATTTGCTTTTTTAACAAAAATATATTTGTTTTTCTATCCTGTACCATGCTCACACTTCCTGATACCCAAGATCCCATTTTGGCAGTGACTGTGTCAGTCCACCCAGTGAAGATCTTCCTCCCTTTCACCAACCCTCCACCCTTCCCAGCATCATGTCCTTCTCTAAGGAATAGCCCCTTCTACCAACGTGACCCAAATATGTAAGGCAAGGCCTCATCATTCTTGCCTCCAAAGAGCACTCTGGCTGCCCCATCTCCAAGGCTAATCTGTTTGTTCTTTTGACTGTCCATGGGTTGTTCAGTGCTCTTCTCCAACACCACAGCTCAAAGGCTTCAATTCTTTATCTGTCATCCTTCTTCATTGTCTAGGTCTCAGATGCATAGCAAGTGATCAGAAAGACTACTGCCTGAATTGGATGCATATGCTTTTTATATAAGGCAGGTTGCGACTGACAAATTTTTAAATAATGTTTCTAGGCATTTTGTAGGAAGAATGTAATTTAAATAAAGCTATTGTTAAGGCTGCCCTTCCAATCTAACACTAAAACTCTTGAGTGTTCGTGAATAATGTGTACGGTGCCCTAAACATTGGTCACTTTCTTCCCTTATCCTTTTAAGTATGTTCAATAGAGTATAATTGTGAGAAGATGATTTTAGACTGTTTTCTATTAGAAAGCTTTTTAATATACATAAGCTATAATTAAAATGACAAAAGATAAAACAGGGTTTTGTTCTGGTGCACATGGGTCACTTTGAATCAACACTAACTCAATGGCATATAACAACAACAACAATTTATTTTTAGAGATCATATTTTTTGAGTGGTGGGAGTGCAATATGCTTTTCCAAGCTGATGAAAATATAATAGATTTTTTAAAAGAGTGAATTTTGCCCATGCGGAATGCAAATATTTGTCCAAATATGGTATAAAAATACAGAATGGCATGCCTACTTGGCCAGTATTTAGGATAACAACAACAATAATGTTAGCAAGCACATCCTGCCTGGTGATTATTTGCTAGGGAAATGTAAAATGCTTTGGACTCATTCTTTTTTCTAATGACAGCATTAGGAGGATCATTCCTGTCTTTAGGTTACAGATCTAAAAGCTGAGTTTAGAATTAAAGACTTTTCCCAAGATCACAAATTAGTAAAAGGGATTGTGAGCCCAGGTCTTCTAAATGCTAAATCTTGTGCCCTAAGCATAGAATTCTCGGGTTGTATAAGTAATTAATACAGAAGGTTAGACATTCAAGCACATGTAAAATAGTGTGGAAGAAAGGCCTCTTTTTCCACTTCTGAGCAATCAGCCTTTGCAAACCCAGTAGAGTAAGATTTTACTCTGTTGTCCATGGGGTCACCATGAGTCACAGTCAGCTCATAGCAATTGGTATGCCCTAACTGGCCTAGTGGCAAGAAGCTGAGCTACAATCCCAAAGGCATGTGGTTCAAATCCACCAGTTGCTCCATGGGAGATGGATAGGAAATCTTTGCCTGTGTGATTAACTGTCTCTGAAAACTAGCTGGAGGGTCAGCTATGGGTTGGTTCCGACTCGATGACACACAACAACCACCACCACCATAATTTTATACATAGGGCCATTATGAGTTGATGACACTTAATAATGAAAACTCAATCACTCACTCATTCCTGTCAAATCAGAACTGACTCATAGCTGACCCTTAAGCAGGTTTTCAAGACTGTAAGTTACCACCCTGAAACCCACAACATCCCTTTTCAGCAGGAAGTAGCTAAGAGAATACGCCATCCCCTTTTCCTTATGAATCAGGGTGAAGTCTCTCTCAGGGAGGAGTGATAGGGAATGGCAAAGGGCACACTGACAAAGGAGATTAATCAGAACTGGCCTTGACAAGCATTGTGGCAATTGGACAATTAAAACAGACATTCGGGGGGGGGAGGAAGAACGAACTGGGGAGGAGGGTAGAGAAAACAGTGCAACAATGAATGAATGAGGACTCAAAATCTCTGTAAATGTTCATTAAAACTAATAAAATTTAATAATATTTTAAAAAAAAGACTAAGTTACACAGGAGGAGATTGCCCATCTTTCTCCTGTGGAGCTGCTGGTGGACTTGAACTTCTAGAGAGATATGGCCTTTGAGTGAGTAGCACAGCTCCCAACAGAATAGGCCACCATAGCTCTAGTGACCATGGCTCTTTCAACATCACATCCTATTTCAAAGAGACTGACTTGTTTTAGTTTATCACTTCAATTCTTTAAGGATTCTTAATTTCTTCTGCTTCCTAATCATTATGTCTACTGGAATTTTCTAGCTGTCCCATAAGACTCTGTATTGTATTGTTGTTGGTGTTAAGTGCCGTTGAATCACAGGCGACTCATAGCCACCCTATAAAGGAGAGTCCTCAACGCTTGGGTGTCTCTTATCCTCTCTCCAGGTTCATAGGGTTTCCGGAGGCAAGCTATTACGGAAGTGGATGCCACTCCTGCTTCCAAGCTTGTTTTAATCGGGGGAGCGCCACCCCACTCTCTGTCCACATTGGGTAACCAGCCTTTAACGCATTTGACACATCCGTGTCACAGTGTTCAGCCTCACAGCAACCACAAGTGACCACTGTACGGCAACTTGTACACCAGGGCTATACGACGACCTAGAGGAATGTCTGAACAAAAACAATGAAAGACAGCCCCGAGGGCTGCAGATTAAAAGTCACCCACCTTTGGCTTGGTAGCATCACCTTCTGTCCACTGGGCCAGCTGATCTCTCTCTCTAGTATTGTATTGTAGACATTTTAAAATGCTTGTTTTCATTCCTCAGACATCTAAGTTGTATTACTTTCAGCAAGTGCCATGACTTATTTGAACAACAAATAAAATTCTTCAGAGGAGAAGTGACGGGTCATCCAGGAAGGTTTTGTGAGTTATGACAGCATGTGTAAATATTTTTTTTTCTTGCTAACAATCTAAATGTACTTGTGTTTAGTTCTACGAGGGGGTCCACTCACTGGAAGCTACAGGCTCCGGCAGTTTCACCTTCACTGGGGCTGCGCTGATGACCATGGCTCTGAACACGTGGTAGATGGAGTGCGTTATGCTGCAGAGGTAAGTCATAGGCCACGTCTCACTGATTCAAGGTTTTCCAGTGCTGTGAGATTTAAGGAGCACTGGGGACAACTTGAGCTCTAATGGCAAAGTGGTTAAACGGATCAAAAGCTCAGTAGTTATACTCTGGAGCCACTCCTTAAGAGATAGATGTGGGCGAGCTCTGGTGGCCTAGTGGCAAGAAGCTTCCCTACAATCCCAGAGGTGCGTGGTTTCAAACTACGAGGTATTCTGCTGGAAAAGGAGGGACAATCTCCTCCTGTACCAGCCAGATTTGATTTGACGGTACACACAGAAAAAAAATATTTTTTTTAAAAAAGAGAGAGATGTGGAAGTCTTCTTCCATAAGTATCATATCCTGGAAAAGCCTATGCGTGGGTCTGATCTGTCCTGGAGGGTCGCTATCAGTCAGAGTCAATTTAACAGACAGTGAATGAGTTTCCATTTTATTTGGGGACAAGTCCCTTGGTACCAAATAGATGTTTTAGATAATTAAATATTTTAACATAAGAAATTCCTTTATTCATTCAGTATAAAAGTTAGTGTGACAGTCTGTAGGGAGCTCTGGTGGCATATTCTATAGCGACTTGCACTGCTAATCTAGACCCTGGTTGGTATTTGTGGTGGTTTGAATTCACCAGCAACTCTGAGGGAGAGAGGAGGGCAGTTTCCTTCCATTATGATTTATAGACTTGGAAACGCAATGGAGGGTTGTAATTGGCCTCACTGGCAGTGAGTGAGTGAGTGAGTGAGTGAGTGGATGAGTGAGTGAATGAGTGAGTGAGTAAATGAATGAGTGAGTGAGTGAGTGAATTAGTGAGTGAGTGAGTGGATGAGTGAGTAAATGAGTGAGTAAATGAATGAGTGAGTGAATGAGTGAATAAGTGAGTGAATTAGTGAGTGCATGAATATGGAAGTGAATGAGTAAATAAGTGAGTGAGCGAGTGAATGATTGAGTGAGCGAATTAGTAAGTGAGTGAGTGAGTGAAGCTTTAAATCGACCCTGAAATCTACAGCTATTTTCATTCATAAATGCATAGACTGAACAGTTGGAGAATGAAAAAAACTTATCCAATTCGTGAGCTCTAGTGACCTAGTGATAAGAAGCTGTGCTGCAATCCTAAAGGCACATGGTTTGAATCCACCAGCTGCTCTGTGGGAAAAGGAAGGATAATCACCTCCCATGTGATTAACTGCCTATGAAAACCCACCAGAAGGTCAGCTATGGGTCAGTTTTGACTCGAAGGCACACAACAACAAAACCAACAGTGAGCAGTTGAGACAATTTAAGTCCGGGACTGTCTAATCCCACATTAGGCATTTATGCTAAGATGTTTATTATTTCTCTTAAAAAGTCAATATGGATGAGATAGAAATGTTGGGACATATTTGATCCAGACGCAAATGTATTCTATGACCTAGTTAAATAATTCCGTTAAGTAATAGTAAATGGCAAAGTTTTATTTCTTGAGTAAAAATATAAAGATAGGAACTCTTTCAATCTCTGTTACCTCTGTATTTACAGGCACAAAATAGAATCTCTGTTAAATATTTGGATCATTGCTCAAGTTTAGAATAATAAGGGCATATTGACTTGTTTCTTTTCCACTGGGAACTTACTTCTTTTTAATGATAATCATACTCATTAAGAAAACTCAACTTTTAAAATCCTGTAGTTAAAGAGTAAATAGTAATATACTTCAACTTGTAATAAGATACAATGTTACTAACACTTCTGTTGTGAGAGTAAAACAAATTATTTTATGACTTACCCAAAGTTACTCTGAATGGGAAGACTTTCATTTTGAGTTTTCTAGGCAAGGCAGAGTAGTAGGTACAGATGTTTTTCTTAATTTTCAGTCCTGCAGTGCAGAGAAATTCAGCAAATGGAACGTCTTTCCCATTTTATTCTATTAACACGCACATCGACCCTTTGAGGTTGTCAATTTTGCTGACTGATGTTTTTGCCTACTATAATTGTATTTGATGTCAAGTATATTAGCGTATGGGGCCTGCCCTGTTCTCGGCTTGATGAGTAAAGAATGCAAACAGAATGCTAGAAGGTGGAGGATAAAAGGTGCCAGGAACGTAGAACGAGCAATTTCCGAATCTGGTTGGTGTCTCCGTTTATATTGTCTGATGAGCACTTTTCAGGTTTTGAATTCTGTTTTAACTGGCTATTCTAAATCTCAAGAGCTGTTTGGGATTAAAAGCTGATACTTTGGATCATCACTCTTTAATTTTTCTAAAGAGCTCTGGGAAACTCTGCCACGTTGCTTTGTAGTTACGCCTTCTACTTGCATGTACTTGAACATAAACTCTCTCAAAAGTTTACTCTGAGTTGTGAAAAGAACACTCAGATCCTGAAGTGTGGCAAAGACTCAGAGTCTTTTGTTGACTTCCTGTCTTGAGGTTGTTGTTGTTGTTGTTATGTGCCATCAAGTCGCTTGCGACTCATAGCGACCCTATGTATAACAGTCCTAAACTCTGCTCTGTCCTGTGCCAATCTCATTGTCTCCAACACACTCATCCTGATTATCCCCAGTCACGAAATCAGTCCACCTCACAGAGGGCTTCCCCTCCTGCACCTGCCCTCCACCCTCCCAAGCATGGTATCCTTCTCCAAGGACCTCTCCCTCCTTAAAAAATGACAAAAGTACGTCAGACGAAGCCTCAGAATCCTTGCCTCCAAGGAGCAGCCCAGTTTAACCCTCTCCAGGATAAATCTGTTTGTTTTCTTAGCAGTCCATGGTACCCTCAATACTCTTCTCCAACACCAAAGCTCAAAGGCATCAATTCTCCTTCTGTCCTCCCTAGTCATTGTCCAACTTTCTGACACATAACATGTGATTGCAAAGACCATGGCCTGTATCAGACGCACTTTAGTCTCCAGAGAGACACCATTGCTCTTCAGTACTTTAGAAAAGTCCCTACTAGACTTTCCCATTGCAATACATCTTTTAATTTCCTGGCTGCTGGTGCCAGGAGTGTTGATTGTGGAGCCAAGCAGACTAAAGATGTGAACAATCTCAATCTCTTCAACATCCATCATGATACTGCCAACTGGTTCAGTGGTGAGAATCTGTCTTCTTGACATTGAGCCTCAATCCATATTGAAGGATGCAGTCCTTGACCCTCTGCAGCAAGCGCTTCACGTTCTCCTCAGTTTCAGCAAGCAGGGTTGTGTCATCTGCATAACGCAGATTGTTGATAGATCTTCCACCAATCCTAGTGCCTCATTTCTCCTCATAGAGCCCAGCCTCCCGGATGATCTCTTCTGCATACAGGTTGTAAAGGTATGGAGACAGGACACCTCCCTGGCATATGCCCTTCCTGATTTTGAACCATGCAATGTTTCCTTGCTCTGTTCTGACGACTGCTTCTTGGTTCAAGTACAGGTTTCACATTAGCACGATCAAGTGTTCTGGGATTCCCATTCTTCTCAGAGTCAGCCACACAGTTTGTTATGGTCCACACAGTCAAACACCTTTGCATAATCAATGAAGCACATATAGACATTCCTCTGGTACTCCACGTTAGCTACAATATCCCTAGTACCACGACCCCTTCTAAACCTAGCCTGGACTTCTGATGTGCTGTTCCAGTCGTTCTTTGGATAATTTTCAGCAGAATCTTGCTTGCATGTGAGATCTGTGATATTGTTCTATAGTTTCCACACTCTGTTGCATCACCTTTCTTTGGGATGGAAATAAATATACATCTCTTCCAGTCAGTTGGCCAAGTGGTTGTTCTCCAGATTTATTGACACAACTTGCTGAGTACATCCAGGGCAGCATCTGTTAGCTGAGATATGTCAATTGGTATGCCATCTATTCCTGGGACCTTGTTTTTTGCTCTTTCCTTCAAAGCAGCTTGAACTTCTTCCTTCATCACCATAGGCTCTTGCTCATATGTTGTTTCACTAAATTCATCTGTGTCTGCCAATTCTTTTTGATACAATGACTCTACATTCTTTCCGTTTTCTTTTAATACTTCCTGAATCATTTCATATTCTTCCTAAAGCATCCTTGATTATAGCAACTCAAGGTTTGAATTTCTTCTTCAGTTCCTTGAGCTTAAGAAATGCTGAGCAAGTTCAGCCCTTTTGATTTTCTGACTCCAACTCTTTGCACATTTCATTGTAATATTTTACTTTGTCATCCCACGCTGCCTTTTGGAATCCTCTGTTCAGCTCTTTAGTATCTTGAATTCTTCCTTGTGATTTGGCTTCTCTGTGCTCCAATGCAATATTCATAGTTTCGTCTGACATCCATTTTTGTCTTTTCTTCCTTTTCTGTCTTTATAATGACCATTTGCACTCTTCTTGGATAATACCCTTGATATCCTCCCACAAGACATCTGGTCTTTGCTCATTCGTGTTCAAGGTCTCAAACCTGTTCCTGAGATGGTTCTGAAATTCAGGTGGGATAGACTCAGAATTATATTCTGGTTCCTGTGGATTCGGTTTCACTTTCCTCAGCTTCAGCTTGAACTTGCATGTGAGTAGTTGGTGGTCTGTACCAGAATCAGCTCCTCGCCTAGTTTTCACAGCTGATATTGAAGTTCTCCAGTGTAGAAATAGTGAATTGTTTTGTTTGTTCATTCATTCATTCATTCATTCATTCATTCATTCACTCACTCACTCTCTCTATAAGACTTCATTGAGAGCTCACCATGTCACTGATCTGTGCCCAGAATACTTGCACTGGACCCTAGTGTTATGCTGGAAGAAAGTAAAGATGTCACACATCCTTATAGCCAGACAGCTACCTCTAGGGTAACACCTTCTTTTAGATGAGGTCTTTCAATTGTGCATCAACAAAAGAATATTTTTAAAGAGAAAAGCAAACTCTGTGGGGAGGGGAGGGAGGAAAATGTGAAACAATGAATGAATGGAAATCCACATTTCCTGTAAACTTTCATTAAAATATCAATAATAATAATGATGATGAAAAAAAAAAAAGAAGTCTTTCCGCTACAACCTAAAGAATGAGCAGGAA